CCCCCAAAACCCCAAAACCCCTCAGCAAAATAAGTTTCAATAAAATATTTTTTTTAATAATAATTAATTACTTTATGATGAGTTGTATTAACTAATCATAATTAAGTATCTATCGCATTGAATCATCTTTTAAATAGAACGGAGTAATCTTGATCTTTATCTTCATTGTTTAAAAGGTCATCAATTGATAACTAATTATCTTCTACAACACCACCCATGTGACTATTTTGATTGCTGATTTAGCCTGAGAAAGATTTCTGACTATTACCTTTTTTCGACTTACTTTTTGCTTAATTATCTTTCTGAGAGTCTCCGAAATTAGCTGTCAAATCGAGTTTAATAGCTCCATAATTTTGTTCATCCGCTTCAGCTTGCTCAATTTCCTTTTTTAATTCCATTTAAAGTTCACTAATACAGCTTCCTTAGGCATATTTAGGCTTACTATATGGAACTTGGGGCTAGTATGTAGCATTTGAATTCGTTTAATTTTATGTTTACATGCTTTTCCTCATTCGCATTTCAGCTCTTTTCATTTGGCTTTTTATTCTAATTTTCTCGACATCTGCGTCTGTTAGTGGTCTTTAAATTGGTACAAGCATTTTTCTGAGATATTTAAACAAATTCTTTGGATGTATAGTATCTGCTCCTAACATTGCCTTAAGTCTAGCATTTCTGTAGATTAGGTAGTGATGACTTTTTAAGTCCACAAAATCATGATTTATTGCATAATTTATAAAAGCATTTTGCACCTACTTCCTAGTAACAGGCTCGCTAAGTCCTAATAACTCTGAAAATTCATCATTAATTAAATACTTAGTAGTTGTAAAAGCTGTTGGATGCTAAAATCTCAAATCTCTGTGCGGAGTTTGTTCCATTACATTTGGTTGTAAAGCTTAAAGTTATTTGGGCTGCATATTTGCTAGTATATTCCTATTATACTCTGGGTTTTCAGGTAATATTACAGGAGCAGGTATGTGATTAGGATTATAATTTACTATTTTCCTTGGCTATCTAGATTCATTTTCATAGAAATGCTAATACTCATCTATCATTTTACTTAATTTTCTTATTGAGTAGAAAGTGATTCTAAGCCTTAACTAATTAAATTTTTCTTACCAAAATTTTGGATATTTCCTCCTAATGGGGTTTTGGGGTTTTGGGG